GGTTCAGATTTATTCCCCATTTAAACGTGATCGGACGGTCGAGATCAAATCGCGATGAACGGTATAAATTCATTTCATCTTTAAACGCGATCGGACGGTCGAGATTAAACGCGATGAATGGCCTAGATTAATGCGAAATGGGTATAAATATTTCGCATCACACTGAACCCAAACCTTAGTCACCAACTTCCCACTAGAGAAGAAGAACCAGTTGCCGGAGAAGGGAGCCGACCGTCGACCACCGCCACACTGGAGCCACCTCCGACCGCCAAAAAGGGTAAAAATTCTTCTATCTGCTTGGAATCTGATTCCGAGCACCCCCATGGCCAAAATGAAGCAAAAGAAATGGTGAGTGAGCTGGAAACCGCGGGCAAAGCCTGGCGGCGCCGCCGGGGGCAAAATCCGCAACCTCCTCCAATGAGTCCCTTCCTGTTTCCCGTTTTGTGCAATTTTTACACCGTTGTGTTCATGTTCTGTTTTTTACAGGTTGACCGAAAAAAAACTCCAAGTCGCGAAGGTGAGCCGGCGGAGCCACCGCACCCAAAAAACCCCACCGCTGGTAGATTTTCGTTTTTTGATTTTTTTCAGCTAACTGAGGCCCCATAATGTATTTTTTCGTAGGGATATGTATAAAATCGGTCGAAATTAGCCAAAATCGGTCAAAAACGGCCAGGGAGGTAAACCACCACCACGGGCGATGGTACCATTGCCGGAGCACGGTGGTGCCGCTGTGCTGGAACTCCGAAATTGGTTGAAAAAGATTTTTTTACCGATTTTGGATTCCTATGGTATTTTTAGGGACGTGACAAGTGTTTTGAATTTCGTAAGGATAGTGCAGAAAATCCGGATACTGCTAGTAGGCGCAGAAGAAAGTTCAGTGTTTCGGACACTGATTCGGATAAGGATCCCTCATCCTATTCTCCATTACAGTAAAATTGAAGCTTAATAATCAATAATTGTGTATTTTGTGAAAAAGTAGAAAAACCCTAAAAATAATTATAAGTTACTAATGGAGTTGGAACTGGTTAGTTATTTATTTGTCATGTTTAACTGATTGTTAAATTTATAACTTTAAATACATAATGATATACTGGAATGGTTAAATAATTCAGTTGTGCTTTCTTAATATATACATTGATTGTCTTACGTGATTTACCATTTTTTTGTGAAATTGAAAATTAATATATAAAACCAAAAATTATTTGATCATGTAAATTAATGAATGATTGTCTTACTAGATATTTTAAGAGATGGTGGACGGAGCAGGTACATAGGGAACCCAGCTGTAAACGTTATCTCATACTGGATGACGTATCGAGAGATGATATTTTTGGTGCTCATACTGGATGGGATATGGGGACGACCCAATTCACCCTCATACCGGACGGGGTATCGAGGGATGATATTTTTGACGTTCATACTGGACGGGGTACGGGAACGACCGGTTAGTTGACAAGTTTAGATACTGGGTTCACGCATAATGAGACATCCCTATGGACCCCCAAAGATCCAGTAAGTAAATAAAAATAAAAATTTGTTGTTCGTACTTACTTAAATATGATATTATAATATTATTTGAATTATTATCTCTATAAGTCGATTTTAAAAATATCGCAATGGTAAGTATGTAATAAATGATTTTTTTTATAATAAATGAATTTATTTAACTTAAGAGCTCCATTGGTTGTTTTTATGATTTTTACCAACCTTTAGTTTCTGTATCGATGAGTAGTGTGATATTTTTACTGAACTAGTATAATTCACCATTTCATTAATTTTTTTTAGATCAAGATGAGCAAGATCTAAATCTCGATCAATAAGAGGATTGTGAATAACTCACAACCTGAACTCCCTTCAAGAGGTAGTGAATGTCGTCCTAGGATACTTGTTTGTTTACTTTTTGTTTATTTTTTTAATTTTATTTGTTTTTTTAGAAGGAATATTCCCGTATCCCTATTGAGTATCTTAAATTATTGTGTAAGAAATATAAACCCTAACTCTATTATTTCACTTCCGCATTTAATTTATGACTTTATTTCCATTTAAGTTCCAGCCCTTTATAGGTCACATATCACCGATTCGGTGGTTTAAAATTCATTTCAAATTTGACAGTTAGATACCGTTTGCTACAATTGGAAGTTGAAATAAATATGATTTTCTCACACCCATGAAGTACTATACATTAAAATCCTATTATTTACCACAATCCAAACAGGGTGTTAATGGTATTCCACAAAGCCACTCCAATATTTGGTTGAGTTGTTGGTGGGATTGAAGATTCAGTTTATAAAATTTATCTATGAAGTCAATAAGTTCCTAATCTACATCCCTCGAGGTGAGTTTGACTACCGCTACCTTCTCCGACTCCACCAACACTGTTTTCTCTACGGATCGAGTTCGTGACGCGACCTAGGCGTGTGATTCGGCCAGCTTTGACGGCTTTGATACCACCTTGTTAGAAGCTTTACTCATGACTTTAGATATGAGAAAGAAAGAAGAAGAGATAAAGAACAAGAGAGATTTTGAGGTAGTTTATTGATTTTATTAGATGATTTACATTTGTAGAAATCAGACCTATTTATAGGCTTATGAATATAAAAGACGAACAGTGATGAAGGTTGGATTTGCTAAGCCGTTTCCGTTACATCAGCGGCTCTGGGATTTGTAGAAATGGTTAGGATTGATTCGGTGATTTAACCCTAACCTTAGTTCATTCGGACAAAATTTCCATATTGGAGAAATTAGTTATGATGTGTCTTACTCATACTCTGTTTGTGCCTTATCCTCTCGTTTAACATATATACCACGAGCATCATTCTATTTTTATGTGTTTCTTTCTCTCTCTTCCTTTTGATATTTTAAACGGTAATTTCTGAAGGAAGTGTGGAGAATTCAGATGTTACCAATGTAATTTCTATTCCTAATTGTTGGCCAATTGTAGAGATAGGGTTGAAATACAAGTCAAAAGGGGAAGATTACTCCCCAGGTGTAACTCAGGATATCACAAAAGTTCTTGAGGTAGACATTGTAAGTAATATGAAAGAAACTTACTACTATTATAGAAAGGGTCTCGAATTAGCTACTTGTGGAAAGTTTTGTAGCATGAAAGCCATCCTTTTGCAGATAAGATGGGAGCTCCAAGGACTGGATAGTATTATGGAACCCTTTCAGTCCTCTCTTGGAGTAAAGGGAGCGCTGTACCTTGAAAGGCATGGATGTTACAGCCGGCTTAAAGGACAACTTGAGATGTAAATAAGCTTTGTTATTCCTCATGTTCTTGCTTTAGCTTGTTGAAGATCTTCGGCAAAGTGTGGCTAGAGTCTGTAGGATAGTGTCACTTATAGACACTATACTCTTAACAGATGTATGTTCTGTAAGCAGATGCTAACGAGATTGGTGGAAAACATGAAGCGAAAAGTTAACAATAGCTTGCTTGCAGATTGCAGTGAATTCTAGAGGGAGAAGTCCAAGAATCTGGTTTAAGCTTGTTGCTGATATGTAGATCCATCTAAAGAACAAATAGCAGTAAATCTAAGCTTGGGAAAAACTGGGGAAATTGAACATGAAAGAGGGAGGAATGGAATTCTTTATCATACTTAGACACCAAGGGTCTGATTGGATGAATTGTATAATGGTTCATTAATGTTGAGTACGGTTTAGTATGTGCAAAATTCATTAATGTTCATATTTAACCATGTTTAGATGATGGTCTATTAATGTCTGATAGTGACAACTATTTTTTTTTAAATTGACAATGATATAATTATATAATTGAACAAATTGTTTATTTTGCTCATGTTTTATCGTATATATTAATAAATAAAAAATTAAAAAAATATTTAGTATTGAATATAGAGATATGTAAATATATTTAGTTAAATATATACATATATATAATACATATATATATAACTAAAGATATATATATACAATTAAATATATTATATACATATATATAATTAAAATACTACATACATGTATATTTATAATTAAATATATAAGCACATACATAAATATATAAATTTATTTATATATATAATAAAATATATATAATTAAATATATAAATATATATAGATACAATAAAATCGATATAATTAAATAAATTATATACATGTATATATAATTAAAAATATAAATACATGAATTTAATTAAATATATAAATGCATGTTATATATAATATATATAATTAAAAATATAAATATATATATATATGTATACAATAAAATTGAACAAGAGAAGCCAGAGATGAAGATGGTTTGCGGTGCGCGGCTCTGGGTCGGGTTTAGAAGAAAAAGAAGAATAAACCCTAAATATGTTAAAGAAGAAGAATGATAAAATGAAAAAAATTTAAACCGTATAATGAAAAAAATAATTAAACCGTCATAAAATTAAAGGTATAATAAAAATAAATAATCAAACCATCATAGTGGTTTGCAAAAATGAAAAAAATCATAGTTTTGATAACCAAGACTCAACCACCAAAAACCTATACCATGTGTTTGAAAATACAAACAAACACAAAAAAATCATGAAAAAATTATATTATCATTATTGAACCATCATCCAAACAAAACCTAAGAATTTCTAGATTTATTTTGTTGATGGATAAGTATTGGTTATGATAATTTTTTTTATGATAGATTTGTATATATAAAAAAAAGTTGAAAAAATTATTTTTTATAATCTCTAATCATTATTATTTTTGATAACTATTGATGAAAAAAGTATGTGAAAATATTTTACGAAAAGGGTTATAATTGTTCTTTCGTTCTATGAGAAAACTACTCTAATATGATGATCCTAACTCAGATGATTTCAGTAAGTTTCAACATATTAAATTAGGACAGTGTTAGTGAAGAGATTATTAATTTGAGTAGCATAATTAGGAGTAGAGATATTCATGGCTTCTCCAGTTCAACTTTAAGTACCCAATCTCCGTAGCTTCCCCTTTTTTTTAAAGAATTCTCACTATTAATTTATTCTAATAAGTTTGTGGATGGCATAATAGAAATAAATGCTGCCTTACACACAAATACAAAGCATAATCTAGTCAAAGCTGACTTTCACATGAGTCTTTTATTAATGCCGCGGCGATTTTGTAAAAATTATAAAGAAATAATTCTACTTCTCCTATCACTATTAAAGAAATAATTATTTTTGTTTAAAATTTTAAATAATTGATTAAAAAATAATTATCTTTGTTCAACTCCATATAAATAATCCCTTGGGACTTCATTAAGCAGAAACATAAGAAGAAGAGAAAAAATAAGGTGTATAAAATGGGTTTGATGAAAATGCGAATCGTGACTTGTCTCCCTAGCAAGACATTTTGCTTTCACTCTTCATTTTTTTTTTTTTATTATTTGGTTTTTGTTTTGGAAGAAATTACATACCTGCTCTCTTATATGTATACATATATATATATATATATATATATATATTAACCCAACTGATGAGAAACACAGTGGAGAAGATGGTACAGAATCTGGAGAAGCAGAAACGTTTATTCAACGACGAGCAAACAGTAGAGATAGATTATTGTTACTATAAACTGAAGTGAAGGCACCTAGAAGAGGATTCAATTATTGTTATTATCAGAACCAAGTATGTAAATTACTTTATCTGATTCATTCTACTTTTTCTTTCGAGCAAAAATCTCTTTCTACCTTTTCCTTGTTTATGCACATATTTGTGTAGGGTTGTTTTCTGCAATTTATATCCCAGAAAAATGGATAGGGTCTTTGAGTCTTACCATGTTGCTCTACCCACTTACAAACATACACACCCCACAGGACCATAACACTGCAAAAAATGAAAGATATTTTCATTTTTTTTTTCAAAAAACAGATTTTTTTGTTTATTGAATGTGTTCTTACCCTGCTTCTGTTTCTCAAACACAACAAGAAGTTGAGAGGGACTGACACAAGATACAATACAAGCACTGAAGGGAAGCCAGAGTAAGATGCTACCAACAGCAATAGGTACTTTTGTTTACATCAATATCAAAATTTTAACACCTATATGTGCTAAGTTTATATATGTTTCAAAGAATATATTTACCATTGACCTTCTCTAATCGATTTGGACTTAAAATTTGTATCTCTCTCTCTCTTTAGTTTCTTCTAATTTAAGGTTAAATGAGAGCTTTTATATGCATATTCTATTTATAACTGTAAAATATTTTTACGTGTTTTTCTACAAACACTTTAAGCTTATGTCTTTCTTTCGCCCATATAATCTCAAAACAAATAACTTATAATCTTTTTAGAAAATCTCATTAATTAATAAGTATGCTTAATTAATAAGTAACTAGGTCTTTAGCAACTTTCAATAAGCTTTAATATTGCAGGTAGGTAGGGAAGCTTTCTTACTTGTTGAGAAATTTTTTTCTTTCATGTGGGAGAGCTCCCCGAGTGGTAGTATTACTGAGTTTTGGTACCGAGTTACTGATAAAGTTTTTGTTTTTTCAATCATGGGTATGACATGAAAATGAATTTGGTCCAGTTGTTACTGGTTTCATCCTGTTAAATAAGAGGAGAACAGGGGAAATACTTCCTAATATAAAGCAGTTGCAGGAGGTATGGGAGGTGCGAGCGCTTCTGCTGCTCAGTCTCACACTCCAAATAGTATTGATCATTCTGGGAAACCGTAGGAAATACAAACAGGGATCTTTTATTATGATTGTTGTTTGGTTTACATATTTAGTGGCAGATTCTATTGCCACTTTTGCTCTTGGAGTAGTGTCACAAAACATTGGAGATATGATTAAAGATGTCAACCATGTCAAGTCCAAAGTTGAGGTTACATCATTCTGGGCACCTTTTCTTTTGTTGCACTTGGGTGGTCCTGATACCATCACTGCTTATTCCTTAGAAGACAATGAGTTGTGGCTCAGACGCTTGCTTGATCTTGTTGTCCAAACAGGAACAGCACTTTATGTCTTCTTCATGGTTTGGACAACGGGCTCTCACCTTACCCTTGTCACCGCACTTGTGATTTTGGCAGCAGCAGTCAAGTATGGTGAGAGGATTTGGGTTCTCAGGAAAGCTAGCAATGAGAAACTCAAGGAATTTGTGCCTCCTCGACACCTTGATGAAGAATTTACAGAGAAGTTCACAACTGGGTTTTATAAAGCTAAAGAAAAATTAGGATTTAACAATGATGTGGAAGGACCTGAACAAATAACCATTTCAAAAGAAAATGAATTATTCCTGGCCTTTGAGGTTTTTAAGACAAGCATGCGTCTTGTTACAGAGGGTGTACACAGCATGTGTGATCAGGCTATAAATGGAGGCTTGTTTTTGCACATTCCATTTGAAAATACATTCAGGGTGATTGAAATTGAGCTTGGTTTCATGTATGATATTCTTTACACCAAGGCAATTTTGCTTCGTTCTCCCTGGGGTATTTTCCTACGTATTCTCAGCTTCTCACTCATGTGCATTTCCTTAGTATTGTTCTCTGTCTTTCGTCACCATAATTACTTTAAGATTGATCTTTCCATCACTTATATCCTTCTCGCTGCTGCAATTTTTCTGGAAATATATGCTGCAGTGCTGCAAGTTTGCTCAGACCAGGCAATCACTTGGTTGATTAAACATAGCCGAAGTTCATCAGCTAGAGTCATAAGCTCCTTTTTACTTTCCACAACTCCTGAATGCAGATGGTCAAATGCAATGCCTCAGTACAATCTATTAAGTTTTCTCCTAAGAGAAAAACCAATTAAGTTCCAAAGAATCATGAAGCTTTTAAGGGTTGAAAATATGCTTGAAAATTCCAAGTATACCATTGAGAAACCTGTTACTGATGATTTCAAGAAGTGGATCTTCCAACATTTGAGAGACATGTATTATGATCAAACAAAAAGATCCATTAGTCTGAGCAGTAGTAGAGGATCATTTGCTCTGAAAAAGCTCCTTCCTGATGCAATAGTAAGATGGAGTACTACTGATTTACTTTTTGAGCAAAGTGTTATCAGCTGGCACATTGCTACAGAATTCTCCTATGCTTTGGATCGCAGTTTCTTTACCAACCCTGCATCGAATAACATCCCTGAAGATATTCTTCATAGATGGAAAGTTGGCAAGCGTATATCAAGATACATGATGTATCTCCTTAGAGTGAAGCCACAAATGTTTCCTGCATCTACTTCCATCAACTTGCAAGAAACATGTGATATTGCCTCACAGTTTCTTGAAAAGTACTTCAACGCCCAGAAGGGAGAAATTGACCCAACCAAGAGAGGAAAGAGAAGACAGTTCAGCAAACAGTTGTTAACAGAAGAACTGGGGTTTACTCACACACCAAAATCTCTGTTAAACCATTCCGTTCTACTCACACAACAATTAAGAGGCTCAAGTATGAAATATATCGAAAGAAGTAGGAATTCAGGTGAAGAGGTTGCCCATGAACAGGTGATGACCATCTTCTTTTTTCATTTTGCCTTTTCTAAGTTAAGCCAAAGTGGTTTTAGTAACCAGTACTTCTCAAACTTGGATTTTGCAGTTTACCAATGCAACTAAATTGACGGATGGAGAGGTAATTAATTTTATGTTTAGCATTCTGTTAAGTGGTATCTCTGTTTACTTGCATTAAGGTTGTATTTGACAGTTTGCAGAGTCTTTGCTGGTGAAGTGGGAAACAATTTGCCAAGTATGGGCGGAAATACTAGCATACGCGGCAATCAATTGCAGAGGAACCCAGCACTTGCAGCAACTGACTAAAGGTGGAGAACTTCTCACACATGTCTGGCTTCTTCTAGGACATTATCATTTCATTGAGACTTTCATTGCCCCAGAACCTCCCCAACCCCGTTTTTACAATGATGAGAATGACCCAAATGGTATATATTATTAAGTGAAAACTGCATATATATATATATATATATATGTACTTCACTTAATAAATGATTACTCATATCCTCTCATATATACACTACTTTTAGTTGGGGATTTTCAGCTGGAGAAATGAATATTGGACTATCGAAGGTTGTGGGAGCTATATGGTTAACCATTTAATCTGAATAATTTACTAAGTTGTTCTCTTTCAGTTGTCCCTCTTTAACATTTCTTCTTATGCTTGGGCGGATGAATCGGAGTTCTAATAATTTGATCGGCAGTACTAGATGTATTCATCAGTTCATTAGTATGCTCAAAGCAAAAAGTTCGTAAGTTAAAATTTCGAGATCTAACAAAGATAATGGGAAATGGGCAGGCATGAACAAAGTGATATAAGCTTGTTAGTTTCCCGCTCGAGCCTAATTTATTTAGTTCAAAGCCAAGGCTTTAGTAGCTTATCTCGAATTCAAAATTGAAATGGATGAACAATTTATTTAGTTCAGTGCCATATGTGCATCGCAAAGCACCTCATTGTTTTAGGATCAAGCTCCTCGTGCTAAACTAGAAGTAATGTTGCATATAAGAAAACAAATCTCTTAACACGATCATCATGCATAAATAACTCCATGCAATAATATTCTAATTAGCTTCTAATATGACAAGCAGTAAAAACTCCATGCATATGAGATCGAATTAGTACAGTGAATTTTTTCTACTAATGAGCATTTACACATGTCTAATGAGATCAAACGCTCACCATCAATAATATAAACTAAACTAGCCTTCGCAAATTAAATAGTGCCAATTCACATTGTTTCCTATGACTAGAGATACTAATTAGCTTTGTCCTAGGTTAGTATATCATATTATTTTGATTTTATCACGTCACACTGTCAAAATATAATATTTATCATTTTTAAATAATTTGTGACAAGAAACTTAACATTATCATGACATATTTAATAAAAATATTTTTGTAATAGATTATTGCAATAGCAATTCATCATCATTTGCTTGTGAAACATATTATTAGTCGTGTTGAATTTGGAGAAAAAATATAATTTTTATTCTTACCTTTTAGATTATTATACCTGATTATTTATAAAATACTTATTTTGCAAATAGAAAAATTTATATTTTAATAAACTTTTAATTATATTAAATTACTTAATTAAATAATAAAATAATTTAAATAATAAAATAGAAAAATATCTTATTTCATACCCACCCAAGTTAGTGCGAGGATATCTTTTATACCCAACTTGTAAACTAAGTTGCAAACTAGAATTAGATATGTTAGGTAGCAGCACGCTCGGCTCGGCCCAAAAAGGCTTAAGTTTGACTCTAAACAACTCAGATTTGACTCAAAAAAGACTCGAACTTGGCTAAAAAAGGCTTGAACACGGCTAAAAAAGGCTCGAACTTAGCTCAAAAAATAGCTTGAACTCAGCTCAACTCAAGTCCCATCTTTGCTCAAGCAGGCCTGTGTCAAGTAGAGATTGCGCCTAGAAAAGCTTCCTGTCGAGTGGCTCTGCATGCGGCAAAGAAGAAGCTGGTTGCTCGGCACTTTGCACAGCTCTTCGTGTGCTCTGCGCACGGCGGA